TGTCATTATCCTTACCAGTATTGTCACCGTCCAGAACCCCAAGCATAGTCAAGGCACATATATCATTTTACCTCTTATGAGCATTGGCAATTGCATGCAAAAAATTTAGTATTCCTAACAACCTCCTTAAGTCATTTGATACGGGACCATTGCTTCCAATAAACTTCTTCTAATCTAAGATAATCATGCAATTTATTGAGCAGAACATTCTTATTGATCAGTAATTCTTCCAAAAGCTTTCTTGAATCGAATTCTCCAAAATCTTAATATCCATCAAGGTGGTCTCAATCTTGCCTTTAAGTTGATATGTAGTATCTTTTTTCCACGCAACAACTTTCTGTTTGAGGACGATAAGTTTTTTGTGAATTCGATACCCACAATTTGAAAGAAATACCGATGTGATCTTTTACCGGGGAATAAAATTTTTTTTTTTTTTTTTTTTTTTTTTACCCCTTTCTTTCGGCAAAGATCACTTACAGGTGGTCTTTATTATAATAAGAGAAATTTCAAAATAAAATCAACATAACAATAAAACCAATATCTTAACAACTTGATGTCATTGAAACAACTATACACTATGCTTGAGAATAAAATATAAGATTGCAAGAAACAAAAAGAAGAGTGCCAGAGATTACCTCAACTGGGCTTATTACACCCCGCACTGAGTCACTACCATCCAATGGAGCGGGATCAACAGTCTAGTTTCAATCTCGAACCCAAAAAGCAAATTTCGGCCAAGCCACAATAATAGAACATGAACCCCCCTAGGTGAATTCTTTTAACAATCTAGTTTGAGAGATATGGATTCTGTTTTTTGCTAAACCCTAAAAACCTTAGCCGTAAATACATATTTGAGAGATCGGAGAGAAGAACTCCATAACCTAAACCCTTAGGTTCTTTCACAATGTGGGAGAGAGAGATCAAACATGAGAGAGATAACTTTTTTTAGAGCGAGAGATAGAAAGATAAGGTGTAGAGATTTTTTAGTAAAGACAATCCACTTTTATAGGTTTTGAATAAGATTAGCGTTTCTTAGGGTTTTCTTTAGCTTGCCTCTTCTTATGAGATTGAACATAGACCGTCGATCAAGGATGACTTATGGGGCGAGAGATCTGAGCCATCCACTCTATAGATGGGCTATCAACATTATGGAATGTGCATGAACCGTTATCCCTCTTTCTTAAACCATTTTATCATTAATAGAAATTAAATAAATTAAATCTACTCAAAATATTGTGCATATCATACAAGAGCACAAGTCTACTCAATCTTTCCACAAAATCTTTCAAAGATATATCAAGTCAATACTTAGTCAATATCTTTCAAGCATATGCCCACATGCCATATCACCAAAAAAATAGGAAAGTGAATAAGGGTGTGGCGTGCCACCCAAGGGAGGCACTCATGGGCCCCACCTTCTAAAAATATGGCGGGCCCATGTGCACAATCGGCTCCCATGATATTTTTATATATTTAAAATTAATAAAAAAAATTAGAATATTATTTGGACATTTAAACAATTGTAAAATCAATATCTTTAATTTTATAAATCCAAAAATTATAAATAAAATATCCATAGATTCATAAAAATTCAAATAATAATTTTAAAATAATTTTCATCATAAAACAAACACAATTAAATTAATTTGATGAGAAAATGATCCATATGGTTTAGGAATCAACAATCATGGGGCACTCTACCTTCAATTGTGGACTACATACCACACGTGCTTTATCAGACCGATCCAGTGTTTTCCATAACCTACAGTCCAAGCAGTGGCTCATTAGCAGGTCACCAAAGTCCGGCCAATGAGCCAATGAATCACAATCCCAGTCTGTGGATTTCAGGTCCTCCCCTAGAGACTAGTCAAGGTCACCTAGACCTGATGCGACCGTAGCTCATATGGTGCATAGGGGTATCTCTTGCACATGCATACACTTCACCCTAAAAGGTGGATTTCTGGCTTTTCCGAACGATCTATCGATATGCATGTCGTGTGATGGCATATGGATGAGGCTTTAGCCCCCGTCTCTGTAGGCCACCATCACACACAAGGGTCACACAGTCCTTCGGCTCACTCATCCAGACATATTCTCCGACCTCATCAAGGGCTAACCCATTAGAACCCTTCTCAGTTTATTCTTTATGCCTAGGTAACATAGGTTTTTCCCAACCGACTGGCCTAGATCGTCAAGCACAGTCCGATATCTGCAAACATCGTTTGTTTAGTATGGTCCACGACGGACCACACTCTCACCGAATTCATGTTCCACTATATCATTTCATTTTACAAGCACTCATAAGACCTTTAAATGCCACATGAACCCAACAGAACTTCCATGAACATCAATGCTAGCCCATGTTTGCTCTTCAAGCTAGCCAATATTCAAACAAAAAGGTCTAGGACCAGCTACCACATCTTCAGTATGCAAACAAATGGGTAAGTGGCCAGAAGATAACTTGGTATGACATTAACCTTAATAAAGGGGAAGGCTCTTTCCACCTTCATAAACAAGAAAATAGTCTAGCTTGGAAAGAATAAGATGACCGGTGTTGTTGTTAGACCCCGTCAAGTGGATCCCTGTAACTCATTTTAGTTCATTCCTCTCATCCGCTGAGTCCCTGTAACTCATTTTAATTCAATGTATGGCATTTGAATAGGTCTAAGACCAATAAATGCCATGCCTTTGATTTTATCCATATGTTTTTTTTTGACGGATGTGATCAATTGTTAACCAGTGTGGATCAGTGAATGATTCAATTTTAAACGTAAAAAACAAAATATAGAGACATGTATGGAGAGATTCATGAGAGAGAAGAGGATGGGTGACTAAATACGAGCTACTTAGGTTGTTACAGTGGGTGAACCCTAGTTTACATGTATTTGGGAAATCGCGTTTTTCTCTTGCACCCCTTTTATCATGAAGTCCCTCATAAATATTGTGGGACTTATTAAATTGACATACGAATCACATTTTCCCTGTAGGAATGTTACAACATTATGGGATAGTTTTTACAAAAACTCTTTCAACTCCTCCCATATTATGAAAATTGTCTGGCTAAACTCCATTTCACATAGAATCCCACCCACCCTTTCTCATAATCAAGGAGTTGAAATTACCTAATTGCAAAAAAAAAAAAATTGAATTTAACTCCTCATTCATATGATTCTAATTTTAGTATAACTTTATACAGCCATTTTGTATAAGACCATCTTACATATGCACATTAGCTACCCAAAAACAAAAAAGCTTACATATGTACATCAATTTTGCTGGATAAATGAAAGTTAGTTAATAATTCAAAAATAAAAATAATAATAAAATGCACAAACTGTTAATAAAGACATCTAAAGATACACCCATTTATGTAACTTGCTAAATGTTCGGTGTGTAGGTAAGTATATGAAAAGAACTGCCCATGGTGTATCAAGGTAGAGGTTACCACCTAGGTGCTCATGATAAGAACACAAATCATAAAAATGTTAAATGATTAAAATAATTTGCTACATGATAGTCACCTTATTATTTTTGGCCGGTAGAGAATTTAGAAAGATTACAATAACTTGGAGTGGGATCTGGCCCAGGATTCATCGCTGGGGCTTGATGGGTTCTTTTTTTTTTTGGAAAATATATCCGTACATCATCTTTTTAAGTTTCATTTCTCAAAATGACTCTTAGGTTTCATTTCTCAATATGACTCAAGGTTTCACATCTCCAAACCCCCTAGACCAACTTTTTTTTGGGGTAAATAAGTGGGAAGAGGGCTCCTACCTTTGATAGGAATTGAGCCTAGGACATAGCGTTGCAAATTGTCAAACGCTAACCAAACTTCTCTTCTTTTTTCTCAATATTAAAAATAAATAAAAGATGTTTTCAATATTTTGTTTTCATAAGTTTTGGAAATCACTTTGAAATCGTAAACTCAAAAAATTTATTAAAACACAATTTGCAGTTCAACCATGGGGTGTGGGAAGTTTGTAACATTGAGTTTATTGGCAGGCTCTAATATTTTCGGAAAGAAGGAAATTTCCATTATATTAAGGCGTTAAGGAATGACTAGCATGTAACCACATTTGTGATTTCTGCTGTGTATTTGGAAAGGGAATCGTCGATCCAAACAATCTGGCTCCAGGAGGGATTCTACAATTCAGCTCTATATACATATATGCACCTCCTCTCCCGATTGAATCTGGTCGATTTTCCACGTTGCCCACGATTTTTTGAGAAATTTGAGAGGCATTATTTGTTTTTCATTCCTCTTAGATTTTGTATAGATGATTTGTCAAAAACTCCAAATTAGCAAAATGCTATTTCTTTCCAAGTCCGGTCTGCCATGTTTCTCATTGTCATTTATTCTTTTTAATTTTAGAGGCATTTTATTATCTATTAAAGTTTTCTGATTTAGAGTAAACGGATAAAATTGAAGGTATTAATTTTATGGTTTTTTTTCCCTTTGATCTCAATTTTTTATTGGATTTAAATCTGGCTTTCATTTCCAGTGGCTTAAATCATCAAAGAAACATATGAAAGATCCTCCTATACAATTCTTTTCATTACTTCCTAAATTTTGCAGGATTGCTAATTTGCCCAATCTGAACCACCGATTCAGATCAGAATAGGTCCACCCCACATATGCATATTGAAGAATGCATTGGCGGTAAAGCCACACAATTTGCCACTGACTTTTACAAACGGGAGTGTAGTGAAAATCCATGGAGAAGAAAATACATCGCGAGTCTTTCTTCTCGATAGTATCATAGCAAAATCATCATATTGCATTTTCGCAATGGTTCACTCTGGTAATATAGTATATCAGGAGTATCCAACCTGCTCATAAACGAAGTATATAAGTTATTGTTGAAAAAAACGCATTTTCTTTTTGCACCATTTTTTTTCACCATAAATAATCACCATGATATGGGGATTGCAAAGCCCTGAATAAATAAAAGAGACAGGGTTAACAGTTAACACTAATAAAGTAAGGAAATATAGAAAGATTAAATGGAGGACGAGTAGAAAATTGGTCATTCATTTGTCCCATTTTTCATTTAAGTGACACCCAGTCTGTAGTTCTGCACACAGGTATCACAAAATTATCAGTTCTTCAAACAACTATTGCCAAAAACTTGGAATATAATTCTGTTTGCAACTCAGATCAAGTAAACAATAATAGAAAGCGTATTTGTAAGCCTCGTGATCACATGGAATCAGTGGTCATGATGACCATCACTGTACAATCAATGGGTTAATGATGAGGGAGAGAGCTTGGCATATCGTCGAGATCATGTCACTCCCTCATTATCACCTCCCAAACCAGTTGATTCAGCAGTGATGACCCTCGTGACCTCAGATATACCACATGGTCATGAGGTTATAGGATACTTAACTATAGCATAATCATTCCTAAACTTCTCTTTACCAATACATATTTATGATAAACCCCTGCTTTGAGGGACTTTTCTTAGTGCCTTGAAAAAGAGAAATCACCAGCATCACCATGAACCTCATCTAAAGGGTGGTGGTCCCTAGAGAAAGAAGTGGGTGAAGAATCAACATCTAGGTCAGAACCATCGTGCTCCAATGAGTATGAGCCTGAGGGTGCTCCATGGGCGGAGTGGCCTGTGGTCTTCAAGCGATGCAAAAGATGAGGGGCCGAGGATGCGGGACTCACAACCTCGGACCCTGAAGTCTTTGATTTCTCTTTCTTTTTTTTGGCAGTTTGGCGCCACTTCTTGAGTGCCTTAGCTGTTTGCTCATCAAAAATCGACTTCTTCATGTGACTACCCATCTGGAGCATATCACCATCAATCACACACAGCCATCACTATCAAAAGTCAAAAAGTATTATCATAATCCAATGGAGACTGATTTACGGTACTACAAGGGGCATCCAATGTCTATCCCGAAAAAAGGATGGTGCGGATTGATTACACATGGGATGTGCGCCACATAATGATTGATATTCAGTATTTTCCATCAAGATTGGATGGAGATGCCCCTTAAGAGTACCTTAAAACATACTCCATTGCACTATATTGTGCTAGCCTAGTCAAAACACAGAACAATCAAATACCAACCCAAAAAGGTCCCAAAACTATGATCCATATGGCCATTAGATCACCATGACAATGAGATTATCAACATCCAATCAATGGAAAAGATAGGGATGGAAGGGAATGGGTCCCATCACAAAATTCATTGATTGGACCAGTTTTAATAAACGGATTGATGGATGGGTGACCCACCCACTAATTCCGATCTGAATTATCCTGAATGGCAAGCCAGATCAGCCAAACCAATGATCTAAATAAAAAAGAAAAATAGCAAAATTCTAGGATATAATATATAATATGCGCACTTTTTTTCATTAAGATGAAATTAGCCGATTTGGTTAGAAAATTTTTCTGTGGAGCACAACATAGCGGGTTTCAACCCTCCAACTACTTTCTAAAAAATAAATCAAATTAAAAAAAAGTGAACATTCAAAAAAAGCCATGTCAGGAGGGCTCAAACCTCCTATAATGCAATTAAAAGTTGCAGCGTATACCAAGTGAGCCACTCAAGTGATATGTTATAAAATTTGCATGGTATTTATATAGTTGTTACAAATGCTTGTTTTGAATGTTAGAATGAAAAAGCATGCCAAGAGAGTTCGAACCTTGAACCACAGGGTAAAGTGCCGCACGGTATATCCAAGCAAAACACTCCAGCTTAGTGTATCAAAAGTAATATATATATATATATACAAAGTAATGATACCATGAGACCCTCCCACACCGATGTAAGTAAGATCCAAAGGATCACCATTAAATTTTGACACAGATCTCTAAAAAAGTTATCTATAATAAACCCATTCACCCAAGTCCCACA